TTTATCACACAAACGCAAAAACCGGTAACATTCGGGCTATAAAATACATCACTGTACAAAGGGGGCAAGAAAAAAAAAAAAAGTACGGGCTTTAAATACCCTAGTTATGAATTGTATATAGTTTAGTGTTTTATACATATTTTTTGGTATAATTAGATAAATTGGAAAAAAAAAAAAAAAAAGAAAAAAAATGTGCTTCAGTGTTTAGGTCCAAAGAAACACAATTTTTTTTGTTTTTCACGATCCCGCTACGCAAGTCAGCAAGTTCTTTACTCACAGTTATGAGTTAAAGTATATTAGTGATATATAACAATATACGAAAATAGAAAAATAAGATTAATACTGTCAATATTTTTTATTTTTTTTTCTCTTTTCGAAACTAGAAAACGTTGGGAGGAATTGAAGAGGGCTCTTTTCAAAAGACGAAATGACGCTTTTATTTTTTTTTTAAATACATATAAACTATATATATAGATATAAAGAATATTCTGTAACATTGATTAAGATAAAATGGGAAATCTGTACACAAACTATTTAAATTTATATCATAAGCACCATTTTCTTCTCTTGTAGCCACTTTGGTTGGAAGAAATGTGACTCCTAATATAAGCATTGTATGTCATGGCACATTTTTTTTTGTTTTTTTTGTTAAGTGACATTATGCTGCATTCTTTAAAAATATATATATATATATTTTTTATTATTATTTCATCTACCTGCTAATTAATTTAGTTATTTTTCGGAGCCAGCTCACATAAGATTCTTTTTTTTTTTTTAATATAATTTTTAAAGAATATTGAAAGACTTTTACTATCTCAGAAGTTTTTATTTTCTGGAGTTGTATGTGCATAATGCCTTTGGCCATAAGGAACAGGATACGTTTTGAATATTCAATTAAAAAAAAAAAAAAAAAAAAAAAAAAAAAAATGAATTGGCGATGATGAAAATTAGATTGCGACACAACTTGCATCCACCTAAAGAACTACACTGGGGAGGGGAGGGGGGGGTCTTTAATATGAAACGGACAGACCTTAATTCACAAAACTGATCCTCCATGTTTAGATGATATGTCCTGTAGGGCTGTCATAGAGGCAAAAATACGGCCAGTTGGGGCAGCATTTTAGACAAAGGGGGGGTGGTTTATTTAAGTTTTCAACAGGGGAGCCTCTCGACCCTGGACATTTTTATTCACTAACTGAAACGTAACTACTACAAAGTGACTGAATATGGTTTCACAAACATTGGTGATGGCGACCCTGGGTCCGGTATTCCTTTGCTTAGGCTAGGGTGAAGGATTTTGGGAAATCAACAATGGAGTCGATGGCCTCCCTTTTGGGCTGGACAAAATTCCATGAGCTACAGCATCAGGTAAAAGGTATTGTAAAAGTTTCCAGTATTTTTACATGCGACTACTGCCGGTGGGCTATAGCCACTAGCAGTAGTCATTGTGTTCTGCTGGCTAGGAAGGCTCCCTGGCAGCAGAACACTATAGCACTGTGGGAGGGATTCCCATATCAACAATGACTGTGTTGATGAGGGAATCAAGCAATTTTCTTTCCTTCCACCTCTGGTCAAAGGAAAGAAAATCGCATGATCTATGGGCTGCCTTAGTATGTATAGATATTTTTTTGGGGGGGGGGGGGGGTAGGTTAAGCCTGGAATTCTACTTTAATCTAACACTTGGTGCTGATTTTAAATAATAAGGGTTGCAGACTTTACGCAGCCACTGGCTCTCCTGTAGAAGTTCATGAACTGTAATAAACCATCATAATCTCAGGTGTAGGTAAGTTTGGCACTCCAGCTGTTATGGAAATACAAGTCCCATGAGGCATTGCAATACTGACAGCCACAGGAATGACTTTCAGAGGCATGATGGGATTTGTAGTTTCCTCACAGCCGGAGCACCACAGTTGCCTACTCCTGCTTTAACTCTACCCTGGAAGACCACCTCAAAAAGGTTTTACCTCCCCTCTCAGATTTGGCTGACCAGCTGCTGAGTTCATCATTTTGTCCAAAAGGCTCAAAAATCAGACTTTGCTGTCCCCCGCACATAGGGTTCATTTTGCCGATGGGCACGGTTTCATAATAAGAGCTACATGAACAATTTCTTTCAAAGAATTTCCTGATTGAAGAGCGGCTCCTCAATAAATACAACCAGGGCTCCATATAGAACACAGCACCTGAAGGAAAGCGGGTTTTTGGATGGCACCCCACTGCTCCCATTCTGACAAAGTATGCTTTCCTCTGTCCAGGGATCGAAGCCAAGATCACGCAGTTCACTTTACCATGGACCTAAAGAAAATGGAGCAGATCAGTCCTAATCAACAAAAGGGGCTTGCGCCTGTTTTTAATTAGGAGCAGCATCTGCTGTGTGTTCTATGCTGCGTCTGTGACAGACACAGCACAGAATCGTACAGCTAGAGCTGCATGCTCCGGTTTCTTCTGCCCGTCCCTATCCCCACCCCCAAACTCAGCTGAGGCCAGAAAGGAGGAGGAGGGATGTGCAGTGTAAACGCTGCACAAGCAGAGAGAAGGATGTGAGCTGTCTGCTCACAACTCACATCAGGTCTAACCTGGCGGGGATCTATGGAAGTTTTCTATACTGAAAACTCCCACATTCCCTTTGTTAATTAGTCGCAGAACGCATGCCAGTTTCTATTTCACTCTGATATAGAAACAGACTTTGGTGGCGCAGATAGACCTCTAACAGGTAATGTGATGCATGCCTCTTCAGACACTTCCCTGCACCAGTTTTCCGCCACATGAAGCTTAGTTAATTCCACAGTACAAGTGGAAGAATGACAGTCAATGGAGCTGCTGCATTAGCTCCTTATGAATGCCAAAGTTTAGCTGTGTTTTTTTTTTTTCGTGTGTGTTTTTTTCTGTTAGTGAATGCCAGTAAAATACTGGTAGTGAAAACCATGTAACCAACTCTAAGAGGTACAAACACAGAGTGAACAGGTTACATGTCATCTAAGCCTCCTACAGCTCTTTTGGATGACCTCACTTTTCTCTACAAGCCTGGCAGCAAGGATGGCGGGATGAGAGCCCAGTGAGGTGTGGGAGGCTAGGAGGAAAAAAAAAAAAAAAAAAAAAAGCTTCTCTGACCAGTATTCCCCCCATACACTGTCCCCAGAAACATGATGCAAGCTGGGACTGTCTGCGTGCTTTTTGAATGCAGCCAAATGATCACCATAAACACAAGAATTGTTGGGGGAACTGGGGATGGGGATTGGGGGGCAAACTAGGGATGGGGATTGGGGGGGGGCAAACTAGGGATGGGGATTGGGGGGGCAAACTAGGGATGGGGATTGGGGGGGGGGGGCAAACTAGGGATGGGGATTGGGGGGGGGGGGCAAACTAGGGATGGGGATTGGGGGGGGGGGGGCAAACTAGGGATGGGGATTGGGGGGGGGGCAAACTAGGGGGGATTGGGGGGGGCAAACTAGGGATGGGGATTGGGGGGGGGGGGGGGGGCAAACTAGGGATGGGGGATTGGGGGGGGGGCAAACTAGGGATGGGGATTGGGGGGGGGGGCAAACTAGGGATGGGGATTGGGGGGGGGGGGGGCAAACTAGGGATGGGGATTGGGGGGGGGGGGGCAAACTGGGGATGGGGATGGGGGGGGGGGGGGAAACTGGGGATGGGGGGGGGGGGGAATGGGGGGGGGGGGGGGAAACTGGGGATGGGGGGGGGGGGGGACTGGGGATGGGGGGGGGACTGGGGGGGGGGGACTGGGGGATGGTAACGGGGAACTGGGGATGTGGAGGGGGGTTGGGAATTATCTTGTGTCTGTGGGCATCTTCAGCAAAGTACATGAACCCTTTAATAATGAATCTCCAAATATCAAGGAAGCTCACAAACATTGCCAAGCCAGGTCTACAGCCAGCCCTATCTATCCCTGCTTGCTATGATACTTGAGTGCTATAAAAGACACCAAGAAACTGAGAGAAGTGCGAGGACTTCTGAAAATGTTGGTTGACTGGCTGTCTGACTGCTTACAAAAGTAACTGGTCAGGAGTCAGCATGGAACCAGAGATCACAGCGACGTCAAAACTCCGGGTCTGCATACTCACTTCTAGCAAGTGACTCAAACTTATGAGTTGAGTGGATGGCCATCACAGTCAGGCAACAAACCTTTTTTAGGGCGCAGACAGCAATGGCATCCTTTGTACGATATCCTTTAACCTCTGTCCCTTGGTTGTATGCACAGATGTGGAGGCACAGAGGCGGGCTTTATTCTGTGCCGCCACTTCGATGTGTACCTGTTTTGTGTCGGCCTTGCTCATTCGTTCGCCCCCAGCACTGTGATCATTCTGTCACTGACATCTCCTAGTCACATAGCAAAGATCAGGAGACAGCAGGACAAGCGCCCCGATCATGTGATTACTGTGACAGCATATCACAGTGATCACATGACCTCTTTAAAAGGCCAACAGAAGGGGTCAAAAGGAGGAATTCAGAAACCAGTCAGCCCAATCTAGAATCCAGCAGGCACTTAAAAAGAGCCAAAAATCTGGTGACGGTGTCGGCAACCCGAAAAGATCTAAATATTAGGCACCAGCTGTTCTTTTCAGACGTATCTGGCTCCTGAGACCTGTTCCTGCCCTGAAAAAGGCCAACATAACCACAAAGGACCGAGGGCACGGGGGGGGGGTCATCTACAAATCTACAAGCTGACCGCAGTCGGTGAGAGCCACGGGGTATCTCTGCCCGGAACCCCCAACTAGTAAACACTGAGGGCTGAGGCTTCTCTGCGGGTAGTGAAAGTTATCACGACAGACGCATACGGCACAGACAGACTCCAGTAGCATGTAACCCGGTGAAGATGGAGGAGAAGCATGTTTAGGAATAGTCAATGCTGTCAAAAAGTTAAAAATCTATCTTTTTTTTTTTTTTTTCTCACCACAGGATTAGAACCAAAACACCCAAAACTGTTTGTAACTCAAACCCCAAAAAGTTTAGCATCAGACCCCATCCCCTGCAAGTGGCGGCCCCAGTCAGAACTGGTGCAGGTAGGAGGGTCTGCGCTCGTGCTTCATCTGGAAGGATTTAAAGCCCTTGTTCGTCTGCTGAGACGGCTGCTGTGCGTACGCAAAGGTCGAGGAGATGCCGGCGGGAGGCGCGCAGTCGTTGGCGGTGGACCAGACGGGTGACTGGAGTATCTGCATTGTGTCGTTCCATTGGCTCACGGGATTTGTCATGTGGTACAAAGAGGAGCTCTGGTTGGGCAGTGTATTGGAGAGAGGGGAGGAGTGCTGCCAAGGAGCTTTAGGCGGCCATGTTTTGGTTTTGTTTTCCTGAAATGAAAAAGAAAACGGTACTGAGACGTGAGAGAACACTTACACCTGGGAAACCCGCTGTCTATAATCAACCAAAAGATGACAAAACTAAACCTATAGGACACTGCAATATTGATTACATACGGGTTTATAAAACAGATGCACAACTCGGCACTAATTCCAATCTAAAAAATAAAATATAATATTCCTTAATAGGTAAATAACTTGGATAGCACTGTATGTTTGTAGACGTTAACCCCTTTTATGACCGCCCGACATATACATGCAGCAGCAAAAGGGTGGGCTTTTCACCCACATGCCACATATAGGAGTCTCTGGGCGGCCATGGTTTTTGTGCTGAGAGCGCACTCACTGCACAACAGAACTATCGCAGAGCACTCTGTGGGTTACAGTGTGTGTGTTCATTTGAGAGCCACTTCCGGTAGTAACGCGCATCTGCTGCTCTGTGGCCGGTGGGACCACTGGGGTGATACGTCAATGACAAGGCGGGGTTTGCCGATGGAGGAGAAATGGAGTCGACAAATCTATCAGGAAGTGTCTGTAAGCATGCAATGTAAGCCTGCGCAGAGCATGTATGTCGGTCAGAGAGGAGGGTTGCTGAACGTTTGCATTGGATGATTGTTTCTAATCAGTTAGCAATCCAAAAAGTGTAAAATACAAAAGGTTATGTTATTCACCAAATAAATGAAGGGGAGATTTGGATTTCTTTACTGGAATTCCATTTTAATAAATCAGGACCCATGTCTGCTCAATGCCTACACATATTTTATGTTACAGCAGCCTCTCTTGACCCTTTTACCCCAGAGGAACCCTTAAAACAATTTTCAGGTCTTGGGGAACCCTTGCTAAAATTAGGGAGAATGCTCCCTACACTGGTGGCCAGACAAGAGGGATTCCTCACACTGGTGGCCAGACAAGAGGGATTCCTCACACTGGTGGCCAGACAAGAGGGATTCCTCACACTGGTGGCCAGACAAGAGGGGATTCCTCACACTGGTGGCCAGACAAGAGGGATTTCCTCACACTGGTGGCCAGACAAGAGGGGGATTCCTCACACTGGTGGCCAGACAAGAGGGATTCCTCACACTGGTGGCCAGACAAGAGGGATTCCTCACACTGGTGGGCCAGACAGAGGGATTCCCTCTCACATGGTGGCCAGACAGAGGGATTCCTCACAATGGTGGCCAGACAGAGGGATTCTTGTACATGGGTGGTTCCGACAGAGGGATTCCTTACACTGGTGGCCCGGGACAATTAGGGATTCCTTACAGTTGGTGGCCAGACAGAGGGGATTCATTACCAGTGGGTGGCCAGACTGCCACCTTTACACACAACTAAAAAGATTGGTGTAATATATGCTACTAGCTTTGGCCAAGTGGAGTTTACTTTGGATCTATGCAGCAAAACCAGCAGACGGGAGGAGGTCATTTTAGCTAGAGGTCATTGGAACCCCTCGTAACCTCTCGGGGGGGGGGGATACCCTGGTTTGGAATGTTTTCAGTTATTGTCACCCGGCAGGGGCGGACTGACCATTCGAGCACTCGGGCACTGCCCCGAAGGCCCCCGGGGGTCAGTAGGGGGCCCCATGAATTATGCCCCTGGTACCCTTTTTTTATAGGTTTTTTTGAGTTGTGGGCAAGACTAGGAACAGGGGGCCCATGGTCCCCTATTGCCCGGGGGGCCTCATGGGTTGGTCAGTCTGCCCCTGGTTGTCACTTACAGACACTTTTTGCAGGCTTATGCAATAAAACCTCATTGTACCCAAAGAAAATCTGTGATTCATTTATCTTGTACAGGTCTATATTCGGTCAAGTAGACTCCCTTTGGTCAATAAAGGACACTGCACCCCTACTCAATTAGAAAAAGGGCAGAAAAGTACCCAAACAAACAGCGGATTGCTCCCATAGACTCACTGGTTGAGATCGTCTACTGTACGTGATAGGAGAGGTGAGGTGGACGGTAAAAATGTGTTTGCATTCTTGTTCACCACTGCTGTGTTTTCTGGTGGAAAGAAAACAAAATTGCCAGCAAATGATCAAAGAATTATTATAAAACACAAGGAAGTGTGTCTTTTTTTTTTTTTTTACCTTGTATTTAAAAATAAAATCCAATGAGGTTCAATAATAATGATAATTTGATTACTTCAGACAGACATTAGGATTACCTTATTATGATCAACAATATCCAAGTGATCAGAGACTATTCTGCCACAAGTGAATACGGGATTATGGACGCCTCAGGCCCTTTTTAATGTTCTCTTCCTCACTTCCATGTTCTCTCTCCCACCACTCCTCACAATAAAGATCTAAGTTTTCAGGAGAAGTGCCGATCGCAATAACAATTCATAGGGAATCCTCCATGGTTGCTATAAACTAGTTAAATAAAGTCACTTAAAAACTTTACCCCCATTTTACAGGATGTGATAGTTCGGGACAACAATGATGCACCTGGTCACCAAACAGTCATGTGGATCACATTTCAAGATTTGTTTGTTTGACTGCAAGCAACAAGGTCCTGGACCTGAATGAGAACATAGAGAATGACTGTCTCCACCATTGCAGGATGAGGGGATCTCGTACTGGCTCTTTGGACTGGAACTAAATCCAGAATCGCCCTGAGCACCCGTTTCAGCAGCTGCTTTAAGTTTTTTGGTCACATCACATCACTGCTGACAGTGTAACGAGCCATCATTTTCAACATTGGAGTTTTTTTTAATGTTTTAATTCTCATGCACATATTTATTAGTTATTTATTTGTTTGGGTCGGTTTAAGGTAGAATATTCCAACTATTAAGCCTAACCAATTACGCAGCATTAAGAAATGCTCCCAAGGCCGGTTGTGTCTAAACACCTATGCTGACTAATCTGTGTAAGCAGATGTATATATACCTATCTGCAGGCACCTCCAATCCACTCACGTGATCTGGCTCTCATGTGTCAGCCTGCGGGGGCTGCAGGGGAGAGGAGGGACGCTGACAACAGATTGGGCTATAGGAGCCATATGGATGACGTCAGCACTCAAACGTTGCAAGCTGGGCTTTTGTCAAATGTTCGCCCTCTCCCCTGCACCCACCACTGACTGACACAGGGTATCATGTGACCAGACCACAACGGGCTGAAAATAAAGTATATACAGTTTTTTTTTTGTTTTTTTTTACACAGGTTAGTCCAGCACAAGTGTTGGGGGGGGACATTTTTAAAACTAGTTAGGATTAGGCTGGAATTCTACTTAAGGAAATAATAAAAAGGAGTTTTGATTCTACAAAGTAATATATGTTCTACCAATGAGTTTTCACCTATTATGGACATAGTGGGTCGCAGACTGCCTACATGACATCTGAAAATGGAGCACTGGCTAAACGTTTTTCTTTTTTTTTAATTTCTGGATAGAAGGGAAATCTCTTCTCCATTTTATTGCTACCTGTGTACCAGCTGGGGAAGTTCCATTCACTTCCGTATAGTGCATAGAAGTCTTTCTCTAAAAAATATAAAAAAAATGGCTAGAACTTAGCTTTAGGGGCCTTTCACAGAGACGATCCAATGAGGTCCGCCTGTCAGTTTTTCAGGTGGACCTGACTAGATGGTCTATGTATCCCTATGAACCTGGTAGGTGTGAACGATTCACTTAACATAACAAAAAAAATAACAAACAAAAACAAAAAAAAAAAACAAAAAAACAAAAACAAAACAAACAAAACAAAACAAACAAAAACAAAACAAACAAAAACAAACTAAAACAAAACAAACAAAAACAAACTAAAACAAAAACAAACTAAAACAAAACAAACAAAAACCCCAAAAAAAGAAAGAAAAAAAAGGAAAGAGATCCGTTTAGGAGGATCAGAGGGCAGTTGGGTGAAGACGGATCGCAGAGACCGTTTACAGCCAGTCGCCCAGGCTCGGTCCATGTCTGTTCTCCATAAACTGAGCATACATGGATCTGTCATCCGCCCGCTCTGATCAGCGGGGAGAGTCTGCCCTGTGTGAAAGGGCCCTTGAGGTAACCCTGTCACCAATTACCCAACATCTCTTCAGTAGAAGAGGGAATATACTTTTCAGGAGTCTGTGTATTCGAAAGCTGCCACATCTCCACTCCCCTTTAAGTACTCTACCTTTGTAGGAGTCAAATACTTTCACCTCCCATTGACTTGCATATTTTTATTAACGTCTAACTCCAGGTTTTGTGCCATTTTAAATTGTTTTTGGGCTAAGCTGGCCCAAATGAACTATTTCCATAAGAAACACAACTGCTGTCAGTGCTAAATATAAACTGTACATCTACATACAGTACAGCACTGTGTACCAGCAGTGGGATGGGGATTTTCCATTCCTAGACAAAAACCCAAAAAGTACTCATCAGCCACTCCCTGGAAAACATGTATTTTGTATGTAAAAAAAGCTGATTGACTGAGGTAGAGAGACAGGAAAACGACATCACTGTCTCTATCGAAGCCAATCAGCGTAAGCCTTCTAGTCACTGATAAAAATACAAAGTTTACTGTGATTGGCAGAGCAGTGCTCAGCCTGACTCAACTTAGGCCGGCCATACATGGTTCGAAAAAATCGACTGTTTTTTCATCTGAAAGTCAGACATAAGAATAATCGGCTGATTTTTGCTGTTAGTGGGTCAATGGCACCGGCTGATTTTCAAGGCTCCTCCCCTTTTCGTTGATCGGACATGTTGGAAAATTCGTGAAAAAAAACTACCGATTTTTGACTCAATGATGGTCAAATTGTACGATCGTTTTTCAGAAAAGAACAAGCGCATGAGCCGTGACCTGGAAGGAACAGAAGTTTCGCCTGTTATATGGGGTGAACTTTATAACTTGGTCAGCCGATTTTCGAAATCATTGATGGCACCATCGGATTACCGAGCAAACGACATTTCCGATTTTTGGACGAATAGTCATTCAGAATTCGAACCATGCATGGCCTGCATTAGTTCCAGGAATAGGACATCCCACTGCTGGATCACAGTGCTGTGCACTCGATTTAGCTGATGCTACACACGGTTTGTACAGCCCTGAAAGCAGTCTTGTTTCTTAGTAATAGATAGTTTGCTTGGTCCAGCTTGGCCCAAAATGTACAATTAAAGATTACAAAATCTGGAGTTCGGTTTAAGTATATTCTTGCTTCTTTTATAAGAAACCATATGGGTAAAAATGACTTTATGATGTCAGGACCACTTGAAACTCCTTCAGTGGTTGGTGCTAATGAAAAGGTATAGTTATGCCATGTTCTGGCCTTTAGATGGCGCCAGCAGTGCAGGCCATTCCTGTCTGCACATAGTAGAGAGCTGGTCTCCCTCGGAACCACAAAGTCCGAAGCCCGTGTGTACTGCACACCAAACCGGCCCGTGTGTACTGCACACCAAACCGGCCCGTCATTTAGGCTGGATCTCCATCTATGCTTTGTAGTAAGTGAAGCTAACACAATACATGATAATGTGCTGCATATATGTTCACCCCAACGCTCATATACAGCAAGAAAAGAAAAAAAAAACAAAAAAAAAACTTGGGCGTCTACCCGAATAGGGAAAAAAAAAAAAAGTTTTTATGGGGTTTACGTTAAAGTCCCCCACCGCCTGCAGGTCACCAGTGCAATATTTTTCTTTATTTTCACCTTTTTCAAACCCTTGCGATGCCGCAGTGTTCTTTTCTCTGGTTGGTGGAACTATCCAATGATGCTGAGAGTGGCCTGTCGTGGTGACGTCAGCGCCAGTCTCTATACAATTACTCAGCAAATGCAGGAAGCTGTAGTGGCACCCCTTAAGGGTGGGTTCAGGATGCCCTGAACTCACAGTATGTCCTCAGTCTGCCAGGTTGGGCGACAGTGGGCAAAAAAAAAAAAAATATTACAGTGGAGGGACAGCTCTGGATATAAGAGGAGTATTTCTGTGTTGGTGAGATCCTCTGGTGGAGGAAAGCAGTTAAAGGATAAGTTCATCTTATGACCAAAAATAATAAATGCACATTTTTTTTTGCAAGTAAAAAAAAAAAAAGTGCATTTATTATTTGTAGCTGCAGGAGCCTGTAAAGCAGCAGCAATCTGATCACCGGTGCCATGCAAGTCTCCAGCATATCTGTCAGTATATCTGCTTGCTTGTACGAGATGTACAGACAAGCAGAATCAGACATGATCCATGAACTACCAGGGCGCTCCACAGTGCCATGGTAGTTCACTGAGAATAACAAGCCGGTAGCTGCTAAGGCTGGTGGGACTTGTAGCAGTTGTAGCAGGTGTGTCACCCGGTGTGGTAACACTTGGGGACACACCCCCTCCGACGATCCCCGCAGGATGGATCGAATTTGCGGATTGAGCATAATGGATCGGACTCCGATCTATTATGCTCTCCAATCCGCAGATCCCATCCATCCTGCGGGGATCATCAGCATGCAACTTATACGGGGTGACACCGAACCACGAAAAGTTAAGTTGTAAAGAAAGCCGACGATCCCCGAAGGATGGATCGGATCTGTGGATTGAGCATATTGGATTGGATCCATCCAGCGGGGATTGTCGGCTTGCTTTACAACTTACCTTTTCATGGAACGGGTCCGGTGTCGCCCCGTGCGGTCAGTGTCACCCAGTGCAGGCCGCACCCGCCTCGGGACGCCACTGACTTGTAGTTCATTCATTCACAGAACACTGTGATTGAAAAACACGGCTGTGTAGGTGGAGCCCCGCACAGCTGCTCTCTATTTAAAAAGTGACAACTTGCATGGGGAACTTCCTGTACTGCTGTTACAGGGAGGACGGGGGAATCAGGAGGCAGCTGCACCATTGGGAACATGTTACTTGTTCAGGGGTGGAACTGACCATTTGGAAACCGAGGGCCTGGGGGTCAGTAGGGGGCCCCATGAGATGCCCTGGTACCTTTTTCATAGGCTTTTTTGAGTTTGGGCAAGGACACAGGGGCCCCATGATCCCCTTTGCCCAGGGGCCCCATGAGTTGTCAGTCTGCCCCTGTACATGTTCCACCCTAAAAATACTGACTGCATTGTTATAGTACAAGGAACCGGCCGTGGTCCTGCAAAATGCTCTTACCCCTCGGTGTAATATTCCGGGAAGGGCCACGTTCTGTGCGAATCCTCAGGATGGGGCCAGTTGCTACGTGTGGTGCTCGGACGACGGACATGCTGCGCTTGCCGTTTTTGTTGCATAGCTTGGTTGACCCCGGCCACATACCGGGCAAATTCCGGGTCTGAGCCAACTACAAGAGAAGAGGAGGAGGGGGAATCACAGAACAGCGTCAGCCTGTTTGTACCCTGTTATCCCAGACACTAATCTTTTAAGCCAGACTGTCTTCTACTCCTGAATAGAACACAATAAGGGATTCGCTGGCCGTCAGCAGCCCATGATACTCTTGTTTATCGGATAAAACTGCGGGGTATCGACTGAAAATAGCACATTCTGTTAATTGGGCTCAAATGGGCAGACGTGGCTAAAATAGTCCCACATTTAATGCGGTCACCAGTGTGCCCTTATCTGTGTCCGGCTGTATTTGTATTTACTTTTATTAGCTGTAAATGGACAGATTAACATCCACACACCACATCAAGAAAACATATATGGATGTGAATTATTTAAGGTGTCATAAAAACACAAAGACAGCAACAATGTAGATAGAATCAGCAATTAACTTAACACTTTTGCTGCCAAAGCAATGTTTGCATTTTTTGCAGGTCTAAAAAAAATTATTTTAGGCTTGAAGATTAGTTAAAAACCACCCAAACATTATATATTTTCTGAAAGCATACGGACAATATAAAGAATAAATTAGCGATAGCTACAAATTTTTTTTTGTGTCACATAATATTAGCATTACAGTTTGCAAAATTTCAGTAAAAACCACAATAAAGTTAATTTTATTACAACATATACCCAATTATTTATTAAAATATAAAAAGATGAGGTTGTCCCAAGTAAAATGATAACCAACATGTCGGGGTTTAAATTTGCATTTGCCTGTGAAATAGCGTCAAACTTTGGTACCTTATATTCTCCACAGTTGACCCTACAGGTCAGAAATGTAGTTATTGTGAATATTGGGCCTAGAGTTCTTGCTGCTTGCGATATGTATCGTGTATTGCAATCAATGCTTTCATGTGCAGGCGCCCCCGACATGTACGTGGTGTAGGTGAGGGGAGCTCAAAAATGTGTGGAGGGAGTGCTTGGGTGTAACGTTGATTTTTTTACACTAATTTAAACTTTTAACTAATCTCTGATTATTTTTTTTTTTTACACTGATTTTTTAATCTTAGATTAAAAAACTAGTGTAAAAAAAAAAAAAATCAAAGATTAAAAAATTAGTGTAAAAAAATAATCAGATTAAAAAACTAGTGTAAAAAAAAAAAAAATCAGATTTTTTTTTTACACTCATTTTTTAATCTTTGATTATTTTTTTTTCACTAAACTTTATATTTCATCACATAGGGGACAAAAAGTCCACTAAGTGGTACATTTTTTTTGGTGACAGGTTCTCTTTAATGAGATATCAGGGGTTTAAAAGTCACCTGATGTCTCACTTGCGCTCCAATGTAGCTAACAGAGAGCAGACCACTCTCCAGTATTTTCTTCCCCTGGCTATACTGATACCAGTACCCAGAAGTGACATTTTAAATGTTGTTTCCAGGTCATGAGCAGGAAGGGGAGATCAGCAAACAGATGTTCGCTGATCTTTCTCCCCTTCCCAGTGGCACTCTCCATGAAATGCTGTATTTACCCCCCCCCCCCCCCATGTGCTCCCTCTCCCCTGCTGCAGTAGCTCTGAGCTCAACAATGCTGCCACAGAGGGGACAGTGAACTGCAAGTGTGCTGGTGTTTGAGAGCTCACTCCTGTGATGTTAGGGGTGAGCAGTAAACGCTGGGCGTGTCTTAGAAACAGGGGCGGACTGACCATTTGGAAACTCGGGCACTGCCCGAAGGGCCCGGGGTCATCAGTAGGGGGCCCCATGAGATGTCCCTGGTACCTTTTTCATAGGCTTTTTTGAGTTTGGGCAAGGACACAGGGGCCCCATGATCCCCTATTGCCCGGGGGCCCCATGGGTTGTCAGTCCGCCCCTGCTTAGAAATATAAGAGCAACAAACCAGGATGGAATGATGCCATCTCATAGTTTTTCAGATAGGTTTAAGGAGGTACGCAAATGGCCTACACCTATAGAAAGGGCATTATGTCCCTTAAGTCAAAACTGCACAGTTTTGTTTTTATGTACAGGCCTCTCTTGCCTGCATAGGCCTCAGCAATACTGATCGGGAACATTATGACCTCCACCATTAAACTTTTGTACATCGATAATGTGAAAGGATGACTAATGCAGGCCATAGATGGTACGAAAATTGGCCGATTTTTCGGCCGAAAATAAAATTGGCTGATTTTCAGATCGTTAGTGGGTTAATAGGTTGTCCGTTTTGCGGTATTTTGGCAGATTTTTTATCGGTAAAGTTTGAAAAAAAAAAATCGGCCGATTTTCGCGTCAATGATGGGCAAATCGGACGATCTTTTTACCGATAAAAAAATCTGCGCATGAGGAGTGACCTGCAAGAGGAAGAAGGGGGAGGGAGGAAGAAGGGGAGGGGAGGGGGGAGAAGGGGAGGGGGGAGAAGGGGGAGGGGGGAAGAAGGAAGAAGGGGGAGGGGGGGGGGAGGAAGGGGAGGAGGAAGGAGGGGAGGAAGAAGGAGGAGGAAGAAGGAGGAGGAAGGAGGAGGAGGAAGGAAGGAGGAGGAAGAAGGAGGAGGAAGAAGGGAGGAGGAAGAAGAAGAGGAGGAAGAAGGAGGAGGAAGAAGAAGGAGGAGGAAGAAGGAGGAGGAAGAAGGAGGAGGAAGGAGGAGGAGGAAGAAGGAGAAGGAGGAGGAAGGAAGGAGGAGGAAGAAGAAGGAGGAGGAGGAAGAAGGAGGAGGAAGAAGAAGGAGGAGGAAGAAGGAGGAAGAAGGAGGAGGAAGAAGAAGAAGGAGGAAGAAGGAGGAGGAGGAAGAAGGAGGAGGAAGAAGGAGGAGGAAGAAGGAGGAGGAAGAAGAAGAAGGAGGAGGAGGAGGAGGAAGAAGGAGGAGGAGGAGGAGGAGGAGGAGGAGGAGGAGGAGGAGGAAGAAGGAGGAGGAGGAGGAGGAGGAGGAGGAGGAAGGAAGAAGAAGGAAGGAGGAGGAGGAAGAAGGAGGAGGAGGAGGAAGAAGGAGGAGGAGGAAGAAGAAGAAGAAGGAGGAGGAGGAGGAAGAAGAAGGAGGAGGAGGAAGAAGAAGGAGGAGGAGGAAGAAGAAGGAGGAGGAGGAAGAAGAAGAGGAGGAGGAAGAAGGAGGGAGGAGGAGGAAGAAGGAGGGAGGAGGAGGAAGAAGGAGGAAGAGGAGGAGGAAGAAGGAGGAGGAGGAGGAAGGAGGAGGGAGGAGGAGGAAGGGAGGAGGAGGAGGAGGGAGGAGGAGGAGGAGGAGGAGGAAAGGAGGGAGGAGGAAGGAGGGAGGAGGGAGGAGGAAGGAGGGAGGAGGAAGGAGGGAGGAGGAGGAGGGAGGAGGAGGAGGGAGGAGGAGGAAGGAGGGGAGGAGGAGGAAGGAGGGAGGAGGAGGAAGGAGGGAGGAGGAGGGAGGAGGGAGGAGGAGGAGGGAGGAGGAGGGAGGAGGGAGGAGGAGGAGGGAGGAGGAGGAGGGAGGAGGAGGAGGGAGGAGGGAGGAGGAGGGAGGAGGAGGGAGGAGGAGGGAGGAGGAGGAAGGAGGAGGGGAGGAGGGAGGAAGGAGGAGGAGGAGGAGGAGGAGGAAGGAGGAAGGAGGAGGAGGAGGAGGGAGGGGAGGAGGAGGGAGGAGGAAGGAGGAGGAAGGGAGGAGGAAGGAGGAGGAGAAGAAGGAGGAAGAAGAAGGAAGAAGGAGGAAAAAGAAGAAGAAGGAGGAAAAAAGAAGAAGGAGGAAAAAGAAGAAGGAGGAAAAAGAAGAAGAAGGAGGAAAAAGAAGAAGAAGGAGGAAAAAGAAGAAGGAGGAAAAAGAAGAAGGGAGGAAAAAGAAGAAGGAGGAAAAAGAAGAAGGAAGGAAAAAGAAGAAGAAGGAGGAGGAAGGAAGAAGGAGGAGGAGGAGGAAGAGGAGGAGGAGGAGGAGGAGGAAGGAGGAGGAGGAAGAGGAAGGAGGAGGAGGAGGAGGAAGGAGGAGGAGGAGGAGGAAGAGGGAGGGAGGAGGGAGGAGGAGGAGGGAGGAGGAGGAGGAGGAAGGAGGAAGGAAGGAGGAGGAAGAAGGAGGAGGAGGAAGAAGGAGGAGGAGGAAGAAGGAGGAGGAGGAAGAAGGAGGAGGAGGGAGGAGGAAGGAGGAGGAGGAGGAGGAAGGAGGAGGAAGAGGAAGGAGGAGGAAGAGGAAGGAGGAGGAAGGAGGAGGAGGAAGAGGAAGGAGGAGGAGGGGAGGAGGAAGGAGGAGGAGGAAGGAGGAGGAGGAAGGAAGGAGGAGGAGGAGGAAGGAGGAGGAGGAGGAAGGAAGGAGGAGGAAGAAGGAAGGAGGAGGAGGAAGGAGGAGGAGGAGGAAGGAGGAAGGAGGAGGAGGAGGAAGGAGGAGGAGGAGGAAGGAGGAGGAGGAGGAGGAGGAGGAGGAGGAGGAGGAAGGAGGAGGAGAAGGAGAAGAAGAAGAGGAGGAGAAGAAGAAGGAGGAAAAAGAAGAAGGTGGAGGAGGAAGGAGGAGGAGGAGGAGGAGGAAGAAGAAGGAGGAGGAGAAGAAGGAGGAGGAAGAAGAAGGAGGAGGAAGAAGAAGGAGGAGGAAGAAAAGAGGAGGAAGAAGAAGGAGGAGGAAGAAAAAGGAGGAGGAAGAAAAGGAGGAGGAAGAAAAAGGAGGAGGAAGAAAAAGAAGGAGGAAGAAAAAGGAGGAGGAAGAAAAAGAAGGAGGAGAAGAAAGAAGAAGGAGGAAGAAAAAGAAGGAGGAAGGAAAAAAGAAAGGAGGAAGAAAAAGAAAGAAGGAGGAGGAAGAAAGAAGAAGGAGGAAAAAAGGAGGAGGGAGAAGAAGGAGGAGGAGAAGAAGGAGGAGGAGAAAGAAGGAGGAGGAGAAAGAAGGAGGAGGGAGGAGAAGAAGGAGGAGGAGGAGAAGAAGGAGGAGGAGAAAGAAGGAGGAGGAGAAAGAAGGAGGAGGAGAAGAGAAGGAAAGGAAGGAGAAGAAGGAGGAGAGAAGAAGGAAGAAGGAGAAGAGGAAGGAAAAGAAGGAAGAAGAAGGAGGAGGAAGAAGAAGGAGGAGGAAGAAGGAAAAAGAAGAAGGAAGGAAAAAAGAAGAAGAAGGAGGTAGGAGAAGAAGAAGAAGAAGGAAAAAAGAAGAAGGAGGAGGAAGAAGAAGAAGAAGGAAGAAGAAGAAGGAAGGAAGAAGTATTCCAGTCCGGCAAAAAGTGTCCCTGCAGAGAGCTCCGCTATTTCTTTGACATTTATAGCGGCTGCAACAATGTATCTATTTGTTTCCGAATAAAAACATCTGTATCCGAAATGGATACAAATAGATACAATGTTGCAGCCGCTATAAATGCTATAAATGTCAAAGAAATAGCGGAACCAGGATGAAAATCGGCCGATTTCTTTTTACCGTTCCTGGTAACGTCAGCCGTTTGAACGACCGATTTTTCGCCCGGTTTTCACCCCATCTATGGCCTGCATAACTTGGGCTCAATGCTGTTCCTCACACAACCATCAGCATATCAGGGTAAGGTTACAACAGACTTTTTACTGATCATTCACACAGCAAAAAACAAGACATTATTGTCAATCACACCAAAACGTGACATTATTATCAATCACCTAAAGCCTACTCAAGGCAAAGACCACTTCAATGTAATAGAAAGAAATGGGTTTGCAATATGGGACATCAAAATGTTTTCTCATCACTTTAGATTTTCTGCATGTTTAACCAATTGAGGATTTAGAACGTAAGAGATAAATTTGAAGAAAAAAAAAACCTTTAGCAACCTTTTTAGGATCCATCTCCCCTGACAGCTACCAGCTGTCAAAATGACAGCCAGTAATTGCTTTGCATTAAACAGCAGGAGTTGCTATCATAATGTAGTCGCTCTCCTGGGTAAAATGACACTTGCAGACAGTCTCACTGCTTCAGTAAGTACAAAATAAAAGTGTATTTGTTCATTGTATTTTTTTCATAGGTAGATAAAAGGTGTGACCCTTAATCTGCATATCACATCCCTTAAAGAAACCTTCCACATAATAAAAAATAGATAATTACAATGCAGGGCACTACTTACATTTTTTTAACTTTAATAAAATGTCACAATTCATTCACTTCTATGCACTGCAGGGAATTGGACAGCAAAGTGGAATGAAAATGGCTCATTACCTGCTGGATCAAAAGGCAGCATATCTCCCAATATCCCGAACACCCCTTCGCTCTGGTCCCGGTTTGGCCAGGTGTTATTTCGAGGTCCTTGCGATTTTTGTCCCAGCATCTCAGACATCATGTTGTCCATGAAACTGCTGACCAGTCCCATGCTGTACAAGTCTGAACTGAGATCAGAGACCCCCTGGCTGCTCCACTGGTTCATCTGACCAATAGGAGACAGGCCGCTCCCCACCGCTTGTGAGGATGGTTGGTTGGAGCTGTTCAGCCATTTTCCTGGTGGATGTTGAGACTGTTGCTGCTGCTGCGGCCCGATTGGTTGGAACAAGTGCGGATAATACTGCAATTGTTGTTTCTGTGACAGCTGCAGTGGCGGTGGCTGTTGTAGCAGTCCCTGCTGCTGCTGAGGTTGGGTTTGCTGCTGCTGCTGCTGAGGAGGGTGAACAGGAGGGTGGATAGCTGGTTGTGCCGGTGGTTTTACAGTTCCTTGTTTTTGCTCAGACACAACAGATGCGGTGGTGGAGTTTCTCCTCTTGACCACAGGGGAAGTCTGCTGTGACTTTCCCATGTTAAAACCAGAGAGGAAATCGATGACGTCCTGCATTTCCTGGTCAGAGGGCAAGTTCATTCCTTTCTCATCCTTTTGTTCTTCTCCTTTGAACAAGTCCTCTCTGCGCTCCACAAGGAATCCGTTGACCAGCTGGCTGTTTGTGTTCTGGGTGGAGTGGGGAGTGTCCATGGACCTGGAGAAGCTGCCAATGGTCAGCATGCTCTGTAACTTGGAATCCGTGTGATTGGGGAGTTTCACCTTCTCTTCGGAGTTGCTAGTGGTTAAGACGTGTTTGGAGGGGGTCTGGGGGACAGAATAGCTCCCGCTGTGGCCAGAACCACCGCAGGAGACTTTCTTAGTGAACCTTGAAGTCAGTTTTGAAAAAGTCTTTTGCAGGCCTCCAGATGACTTGCTGCAATTCCCATGCGGGAGGTCAATCTGGTTTCCAAAGTCGGAGGTGTCCCGCTGTAGCTGAATCTGGATGATTGGCAAAGCTTGCTCGCTGCAACCAACACAAATACATCATTAGTATCACTGGATCAGTAAGAAAGCAAAGCCTTAGAAGACAACTGAAGTATTACTCATTGCGCGTGCGATTATTAAAAGTGGAGCATTTGGCAATTCTTGATGTACATGGAACACCCCTCCCCCCATTAGTATGACTCCAGCTTATTCTGGTGCAGCTGCCGTAATGGGATGTTAAAGCAGACCTTTACCTGCTTCAAAACCTTTCCATAATCCCGCATCTAGAGAGCTATGGTCATTCTCTGAGCTTCATGTCAGTAAGGACACACAGTCCCTGTCACATACAGGAATACATACCGTCCCTCCTTCCACCGAGTGATATCAAAGACTGCGGTGTACAGAACATCCACCAGTCCCAGGGTTTTCTCTGGGTCCAGGCTTCTCTGTAAGAGAGACATGGTCGCTGGGTCCTCCTTCAGACACCTGTATATGCAAAAGAAATGACATATTATTACCATACAGCATGTGGATCATACATTGAACCATATATGTTGGCTCTGCTGGGGTGCAAAAAAAAACAAAACAAAAAAAAACATAACAAAAAAGACATGCATACTATACAAAGACTGTTGCATTCCATAGTGCTACAGTCCATGAAGGAGCTCAACCTCCTTCATCACAGGCTTTGCAACAACCAATCTTTGGACCAATACCCAACTGAACCATAAAAAAGCAAGGAATCCTTCTTCTTTCTGGGTCACTGCCAAAGACATTTCCATAAGGAGTAGCCATACTGATAGCTGAACTACTGCAGACACCACCACTGCGTCAAAGACCAAAGGATTTCTGATTAAACTTTCCAGGTACTTACCAGGTAGATGGAACTTGCACAATAACCCTTGACCCTTCCAGACTGATTTGTGGTGCATACGCTTCCTTATTCTCAATCTGTGCTGTGTCAACGACCACCTAGGTGACAGATTTAGGGGGAAAAAAAAAAAAGGAAGATGATCAGAAACAGTTTGTCTGACACTGTTAAAGCAACTTTGTTGTTGCCCAAAAATATCTTATCAGCAGGTTCCTGCAATACTTAACTCTCAAGCAGCCCATGCCTCCTACCTTAACCTCCCTATCGGTCTGATTATGTCCATATTTCTGTGCTCAAAGCGGTACACTTTTTTGCATGGAAATATGTATTTTTTTTATTGTAGGCTGTAATTTTTAGGAATAACTCACTGAAATTTGTCCGAACAAGAGTCTAGTAAACATCCCGGGTATGTTAAAATTTGAAACACGAAATCATAAATTATAATTTAATAAATAATCATAAAAATAATATAATAATAAATTTAATTCAATAATATAATCAATCCAAAAACACTGAAATGTGAAATATAGCGCCAAGTTCGCACATCGCTGAGCTCAGCCGCAGAATCATTTTCAGTGTCTGATGATGAATTTCCCCCACGAATCATTATCATTCAATTCTGCAAGTGGTTCTGATTTACTATCACTGTTCTCTAGCCGGTCTAAAACCGCTTTTGACCTAACGGGACGCTTTTTGGACGCCATGGACGTTTCTCAGTTTCCAGGCAGAAAGAATTGTAAAAATGCAGACAGGGCGCCGGACAAAGCACTCGGGACACAATGTATGTGAAATGGTTTGATACAGGAATGTTATACTATGTGATTTTAGTGAATTTAGTGAATGTCACTTTTTGTCATTTTCAAATTTCCCGCCAGTTCCGTCCCCCGTACGTCCCAGGGAACGGAACCCAGATGACAGATGCCGGCATCGGCCGGATTACATTGTCGGGGACACTGCAGGAGGGACATCGCGGGAGTGCAGGACAAGGACAAGGTAAGTGAAGAACAGATGCCGGAGCAGCGCTGCATGGTAAGCCTGAGTGTAGCTCGGGGTTACCGCTTTTGGTACTGAAACTTTACCCCGAGCTACATTCGGGAACACCGCCAGGGAGGTTAAGGTGGTTGTAAAGGCGTAAGGTTTTTTACCTTCATGCAATGTATGCATGAAGGTAAAAAACGTTCTGTGTGCAGCAGCCTCCCCGTATACTCACCTAAGCCCGATGATGTGTACAGGAGGCTCGGCTTTCCTGAGTCTCCCCCTCCTCATTGGCTGAGACACAGCAGCGGGAGCCATTGGCTGTGTTTTATAGACACAGAGATTGGGGCTTGGAGACAAGCATTCACCAGCACACCCATAGCAAACAGCTTGCTATGGGGGCAGTGATCAGGGAGGAGGAGCCAGAAGTGCCAGCAGGGGACCTGAGAAGAGGATGATTGGGGCTGCTCTGTGCAAAACCAGCGCACACAGCACGCAAGTATGACATGTTTGTCATTAAGAGGAAAAAAAAAAAACACAAAGGGATTGGGGGGGGGGGGGGGGGGGCATGCCTCCACTTTCTCTTTTCTTCTCCCCCCCTTTCCCCTTCTCTCTCTCGTCCTACTCCCACTTTTCTATTTTCTTTTCCCTGCTCTCATTCTGTATTCTCTTTATTTACCGTTATTGAATTGATTGTTGACATACCATCCCATGATGGGCCTTTATGTACTGTCAGAAAGTTACTACTGTACCCTTACTTATGTTGGTCACACTGGAATGTCTTCATGGACAGACATACTGCACTTTTTTGTTTTCCTCCCGTGCATTTTGGGGAGGTGTTTGTATTTTATTAAAATTGAAAATAAAACAAATCTATTGAAAGAGAAAAAAAAAAACACTTTCGTATCACTCTTCAGCGTGCACCGGTGAATACAAGCACCTGACACTTCTGTCCGAGGGAAGCTGCAGGACTTGAATGGAGCAAAAACAGGAGACATAGACTTCTTTTTGCAAGAAACCGCACCTAAGATTTTTTCTGGGTGATGGAGGTGTTGCTTAAACCTAAAGTATTGTGTTTTGGAGGTGGAGGCAATGTTGGGCTGTGCAAAAGGGAATTATCCTGCTGATATCAGGCCTACAACATATCAAGGTTGGCGGAAGTTAAATAACCGCTCTGATTTATCAGCATTACTATTTTTAAAGGCCATAGTTTTGTACGGAATGTACAACATCGCTCAAGACATTTACAGTAATTACCAGGCTGCAGGGTATCTGCAAGCTTTTCCTAGCAGCACAAAGACAATGTGGACTGCTGTAGTCTGTGTAAAAGCAGCGGTCTATCCAATCCAATCCAAAATCCCCCTTATAGAGTCATCAGGCAGCATGAGGGTTTTCGTGCAAGAGGTTGGCAGACCGCAGCTCTCATACAAAATGCAAAAAGTCTTCATCTCCAGCAAGTTGCTGGGGTAGGGGCTGGGGTAGGGGGAGTTTGGTGTAAAACAGGAGTGCTACTAAATGACAAAATAAAAGCAAAACTATTAAAGAGTTAATTATTCTTCCTTACGCTGCCTAATCTGATAAAAGCCAAAGACAACAAATGGGCTTTAAAAGTCATTCAAACCTCAAAACTCAGAGAGACAACTGCACGGCTGTTGCAAAAACATCTCTCTCTTTCTCACAGTCGCCCTACCAGGAGATGAGGGAAAGGCTTCCATCCTCGGTGTGACAGGTGTTTCCTTTCATCTTATCACAAGGGAATGACTGCTCTATCACCAGTACACAAAGTGCTATGAGATCATAACTCTACACTGCCAGTGTGCCCCCGCTTTATACCTTGATAACAAGGCAAGTCAACAGGACAGATTGCTGTCTCATCCTTTCACCAGGAGTAAACAAGGTCCTTACTCAATAGGGATGTGTGGGATGAAGAGAGCAAGTGACAACTCGCTGCACCGGGTGTGACAAACATATTATGGGCTGTGACAGACAGTGATTGTGTCACCTAGCACTGCCAGAGAGATACCGCTGAGCGAGGATGGTTCTCATAGCTGTGGTAATCAAAGTCCCTTCTGATATTTTAAAATGTTAGAACAGAGGATACATTATCTTAAAGAGAACCAGTCACCCATAGTAATCCGTTTTATGACTGTTCATGCTTAAATTGTTAAATAATGAGGGTTTACCCAGTATGTTTTTTGTTTTATTGTATTCTCCCCCTGTTAGAAGAGAAGCATTGGTGTTAAAGTGTTACTAAACCCCGGACGCTGCCTGCACTATATCCGGTCTCCCCGGACCCTGCCTTCACTATATCCGCTCTCCCCCCTGGACCCTGCCTTCACTATATCCGCTCTCCCCGGACCCTGCCTTCACTATATCCGCTCTCCCCGGACCCTGCCTTCACTATATCCGCTCTCCCCGGACCCTGCCTTCACTATATCCGCTCTCCCCCGGACCCTGCCTTCACTATATCCGCTCTCTCCCCGGACCCTGCCTTCACTATATCCGCTCTCTCCCGGACCCTGCATTCACTATATCCGCTCTCCCCGGACCCTGCATTCACTATATCCGCTCTCCCCGGACCCTGCATTCACTATATCCGCTCTCCCCGGACCCTGCATTCACTATATCCGCTCTCCCCGGACCCTGCATTCACTATATCCGCTCTCCCCGGACCCTGCATTCACTATATCCGCTCTCCCCGGACCCTGCATTCACTATATCCGCTCTCCCCGGACCCTGCATTCACTATATCCGCTCTCCCCGGACCCTGCATTCACTATATCCGCTCTCCCCGGACCCTGCATTCACTATATCCGCTCTCCCCGGACCCTGCATTCACTATATCCGCTCTCCCCGGACCCTGCATTCACTATATCCGCTCTCCCCGGACCCTGCATTCACTATATCCGCTCTCCCCGGACCCTGCATTCACTATATCCGCTCTCCCCGGACCCTGCATTCACTATATCCGCTCTCCCCGGACCCTGCATTCACTATATCCGCTCTCCCCGGACCCTGCATTCACTATATCCGCTCTCCCCCGGACCCTGCATTCACTATATCCGCTCTCCCCGGACCCTGCATTCACTATATCCGCTCTCCCCGGACCCTGCATTCACTATATCCGCTCTCCCCGGACCCTGCATTCACTATATCCGCTCTCCCCGGACCCTGCATTCACTATATCCGCTCTCCCCGGACCCTGCATTCACTATATCCGCTCTCCCCGGACCCTGCATTCACTATATCCGCTCTCCCCGGACCCTGCATTCACTATATCCGCTCTCCCCGGACCCTGCATTCACTATATCCGCTCTCCCCGGACCCTGCATTCACTATATCCGCTCTCCCCGGACCCTGCATTCACTATATCCGCTCTCCCCGGACCCTGCATTCACTATATCCGGTCTCCCCGGACCCTGCATTCACTATATCCGGTCTCCCCCGGACCCTGCATTCACTATATCCGGTCTCCCCGGACCCTGCATTCACTATATCTGGTCTCCCCGGACCCTGCATTCACTATATCCGGTCTCCCCGGACCCTGCATTCACTATATCTGGTCTCCCACAGTACACACAACATGGAAATTCAATTATTTTAGTAAATATAAACTGCTAAATATCTTTTCTCATCAGCAGTATATAGCAGTCTTGTGACTTCTATTAGTGTCCAGCTGAGCCCTAGTTAAAGCTTGTAGGAGGAGTTTTCTTTCTGCTCTAGGAAGATGCAGAACCCCTTACCTCTGTCTGGACAGTGCTGATTTGCCCTGTGCTGATCACATGTACTCTTCCCAAAAACAAAAAACCCTCTATAGCAATAGACACTAAACTGAGCATGTGCAGAGTGACCCCACACGATATGTCTTATCAGGAGATAAGAGGGGGCACTGGAAGAAGGGGAGGATCAAAGAAGCCAGGATCAAAAAGTCTTTTTCCACAATGCAGAGGATTAACATCTTAGCTTCCACAGTGAGTATAACAAGCATGTTTCACTGCATATAAAGACTGATTTTACTGTTGTGGGTTTAGTAACACTTTAAGTATCAGGCTGTAAGACCATCATGTCATCCACCTGGGCTTAGTGATGAAAATAAAAGATATTAGCCCTGAGCTCAAGCAAAAGGTCAATCTCTGTGGGGGCCTCACAGCCAATGAGCTGGAATTTCTGCTATGACAGGGAGAAAATACAAGTAAATAAGAAAGCGTATGTATGAAAAATCAGCGAGCGCGCTTGAAAATCGTACAGCAGCAAAATGCACTAAAAAGGATCCTGTGACCTTCAAATAGCAAATGGGATATATGGAGCTGCACTCCCCTACCACAAGTAAATAAGAGCTCACTTACCAATCCTGGAGATTTAGGGCTCAAATACTAAAATTGTGGAGATCTGGATTCCTACAAATGGCCATTTCTGACTAAATGTGTGACGGGAGTGTCTTTTGGGGGTGGGGGGACCTCTGTATCATCTTCCCAAATTCTTATGTTTAAGTGACCCTGTGCCCGTTAGGGTACAGGGTGTGTATGTGAATGTCTATTGTGTATTGGTGTGTCGTCCTTTGTTCTCGGCCACATGGCTGTCTATTGTCCTTTTGCCATGTGCTGCCCCATTGTTCTGTGTCTTGGTTGGATGGGGAGGGGTGATGATGTGTTTCCTGTAGCCCTCCCCACTGATGGGGTGGGCTGATAATGTGTTTCCTGTTCCTGGTTGTGTTTCCCCGCCCTGTGTATATAACTTGTTGTGTGTGTGTAAAATAAAGAGGTTGACTTCCTGTTTTAAGAAGAGTTTGGTGCTGTCTATTTCCTGAGGGATTTCCAGGGTGTGGTCCATGGATTTGTGTTCGGACAGGGAAGCTGCGGTATAACGGAATATACCCAAGTGCGGTCTGGGGTCCGGTTCCATTACAAAATGTCTTTAAAGCTTATCTCCACCTTTACTAACCAATCCACCCCCTCCCTTCCTGGATCTTTTTTTATAAAGGATCAAATACTTACATTTAATCCAGCGGTCTTCTTGGCAGTCTGGTGATATCATGGGTCATTCCTTTTCTTGCACTGGGTGCACTCTAGTGTAGTACAGAATATTGCTCATGTAATGACAAGTACAGTATTGTCAGCCCAAGCTGATGTGCTGACACACCTCCAGGGGATGTACCTCTGATCCCCTAAGATTGGGGGATTTGGATTGAATAATTTAGAGCATCATTCATACTGGAAGGGGAGCACCATCTAGTCCTCAAGCATTTTGCAGGTACCCAATTTAATACACTTCTTATACTGTGAAGTTTGCATAGTTAATGCTCTTCCTTGCCCCACTCAGATCTTGTTCTCCAGTGGTCTGTTCCTTTTTATTTTTCTAGAGATCTCTTTTAAGCCCAATGTCAAGGAACATTCCAGGACAGATAACTTCCTGCTCCTCACTGACTTACCAGACCAGCCTGGCCGAACAGCAACTGCACTGCAGTTTTACACGCCCCCCGCCATGTGGAAGGACACACTTGATTGAGAATTTCTGTCACTGCCGTTTCATCTCTGTCAGTCATCCCATTATGTCCATCGGCTTCCTTTATCAGCTGCAGCATTGTATGCTGAAATAAAGAAGGATATTAGAGAGGTCTTAGATTCATAATCAAAAGTATGAGAATGTATTTTTTTTTTTTTTTTTTTTTTAATTATACTTACGTAGGTGGATGCAGCAATGATTCTGTATCTGTCCCCCTGGTTATAAGGTTGAAAATTGAGCAGACATCGCTGATCGCTCAGTTCTCTCCGACGCTCTGAGCAGAGAGCCGGAACGATCAGTCTCCAGCTCTCTGCTCTGTCCCTCCAGCGCTCACTGGAGAGCTAGGCTATGGAGGGGGAGGGAGCGGCTGGCACAGACCTCTCAGAGGCTCGCTGAGAGGCTGAGCCAGGTGCTGCTCCAGGCTTCCTGGGTGGATCCTGACCATATGGTCAACCGGCTGGATGACATCAGCCAACAGCAGACTTTAGTCCGCTGTTGGCTGAAAGCGAGTTACAGGAGTGCAGAACTCATGTGATCTGCAGGAGAATTACAGCCAAACAAGCTTTGGCTGTACTTTTCCTTTGCCTTTAAGGTACACTTTAAAGGAAAGGTCTGCTCAATACAAATGGCTTTAAAAAGCAATGTCCCAAAAACATAAGGAAAAAAAAAAAAAAAAACTCACCTCAGCCCCCAACTCTTCCAGGAAGTGCAGGTGATAACATGACATGGAAGCTCAAAATACTGCAAGAATGCACTCTAGCCCATTGTAAAAGTGCATTCTAATGTGATTTCAAGCACCCAAGCTCTACCAAGAGGCATGGTGAGGTCACTAATGTCTATGTATATTTTCTAAGCAACTCAAGAAGTATTGCACAGACTATGGGGTTTACTAAAACCGGAGAGCGCAAAATCTGGTGCAGCTGTGCATGGTGGCCAATCAGCTTCTAACGTCAGCTTGTTCAATTAGGCTTTGACAAAAAAAAAAAAAAAAAAAAGTAAATCAACCCCTAGGTATGGTGTGTTTGTATGACTGTCTTCATGAACCCAATATTAGAAAAATAACAAAGAAAGTGGAGAAAATACCGTTTTCAGCTTCAGGTTATCAGCGGCGGACTCATTAAATGAGGTTCCCTTCAGGAAGTGGGAGCCAATCTGAACTGGCATGGTTGGGAGCTCACACTGGATTGGCTGCGGTGGAGTCTGCCTCCTTCCTGCTTGTTGTGCCTCTGCATCGCTACAGCAGCCCTGATGGAGAAAAAAAAAAAAAAAAAAAAAAAGAGAAGGAAGCCAATTAACCATTCTATAGGGACAATATTATCACCTTGAGGTCGTATCCTTAAAGCCTGTAGCCAAGAGCGGATTATGAAGATCCCTGACTGACTGTACCATACATTGACCTCTTTTTCACCTCGAGCATCTGAAAGAGATTAGTGGGGTGGGGAGGGGGTTCTATAGAACCAGTAAGAAAAAAAAAAACAAAAAAAACAGGGCTCCTGTAAGTAGGTTCGCTTGGAAAGAATCCGACTTCTGGCAATGCTGTACTTAAACAGCATTCAGCTGAAAGCTCGCTAAGCAGTAAAGTTTCTACTCTGACCAATTAAAAATGGCCAACTTGTGCTTGCAACTGTAGAGGTTCGTAGATGACGTCAGACAAAGAATGACAGATTTGATGGAAGTGGTGTTTTGCCCACAAAGACCAAATAAAGGATTTCCTCCACAGTACTTTCTTCCGCTGCTAGATGTCCTCAAGTCTGATGGCCAGCATCACTCACCCCTCACCCTCTGAGCCCAGATCATCATGGACCCTCTCCATGATGATCTCTTTCGTGTTTTTAACTAAAATTTTGCATTTCCTAGACCTACACGGTAATATTTTGTGATGTAAAAAAATTGGAACTACCACAACTTTATTCTCTAGATCAGGGGTGTCAATCTCCATTTCATCGTGGGCTGTATCAGCATTATGGTTGCCCTAGAGCCGGTTGTATCTATAAGACTAGATCTCCAGAGCACCCCACCCCCCATAACATCAGATGTCAAGAATGCTGTACCCTCCCTAACATCACCGTGCACCTTCATTGAGGGCAGAGCTGGAAAGCAGAAAGTACAGGGTCTGGAGGAGGACCAGAGGAGGAATGCAGTCAGTTATCAGTGTCTGCTGAATGCTGAGACCAGGGGAGGCAGAGATGAGTAGGTGCTGCAGCTGCACTAAGAGGTGCAGGATTTGGCAGAAGATTTCTATTCTGTCTGCACCTCTAGACCCCGCACTTTATGCTTTCCAGCTCTGCCCCCAAAGGAGGTGCACAGTGATGTTAGGGAGGGTGTGGGATTCTTGACATGTGAGAAAATGTGGGGTAGAGACAAGGGAGTACCTGCAAGAGAAGTGCAAGTGCCACATGAAATGGCCTGGATTCGGCCCGCGAGCCTTGTGTTTGACACCTGTGCTGTAGGGTGCCTGCTTTCAAAAAATATGTTTTGGGGGTTTTGTGTAATCTTCAGGCCTAAAATGATTTTTTAAACACGTGTGCAAAAAAAAGCAGAAACGGCTCTGGCAGTAAAAAAGGTTAAGGCATTTTGACATTTGCATAACTCCTCCAAAGAGAAGCCTGCTGCTTTGCATCAGGAAGTACTTAGGTTGGTCTTAAAAATATTACAGCACCCTGCTAGCTCCACCCACCAGCCATGATCTTCCTGCAATGCATAAAGAAGCACAGAGAGCCAACAATGACATCACTGAGTCTAACATAAAAAGGTATGTAATGAAAACGGAAAGGTTTTATTTAAAAATGTCATTAGTGTGTATATAATAAGAGCAGTAAACCTACTGCAGAGCTGCCTTAACTGGTGACTTTTACATCTGCCTCAAGTTCATCTTTAATGGTCTATCATTTTATAAAAATCAGCAGCTTTACCTTCAGGCAGTCTTCAATAGCCTTGGGATTGAGGTGGAACCCGGCCTTCATTGCATATTCACAGTGACCCAAACTTTCCAGCGCTATTTTGTACGCCTAGAACAGAAGAATTACGTGAGAAGAGCTTTTACAATAAAAATATGCAGAACTTGTTTAATAAGGTTCATTGATTTAAGTGTATCTAAATCCAAGTACATGAATGTAATATACTGAAGATTACCAGTCCTTAGATGAGGTGGTTGTATTAGTTTTCTTTTCTCAGGCTAAGTACATTCTTAGCAATTACAGAACATATGAGAGGCATTCCAGTCAAACCTGGACTTTTAATTTTACAGGTATAAAAAGGGATGCTAGCGTGGTGGTACTACACGCAGATGTGTGTCCTATTACTGCGGTGCACATGACGCGGGCCAGTCCAGAGACCGTTAGTCAAGATGGCAGATAAAAGTGTTTGTGCGTGCATGGAACAGCATGTGGTGATGAAGTTTCTTGTGAATGAAGGCGTAAAACCCATAGATATCTACAGAAGACTGCAAGCACAGTACGGTGGTAAGATGCTCGGTCGCAGTAAGACATTTGAATGGTGTAAACATTTCAAAGATGGCCGTACGTTCGTCAGTGACTATCCCGGCCATAGTGGTCAATCCTGTATAATTGACACATACCTGTCATGAAATTGTACAAGAGACAAATCTTTCTGTGGGAACGATGAACATGATGACAGGGGCGGACTGACAACTCATGAGGGCCCCTGGGCAATAGGGGATCATGGGGCGCCTGTGTCCTCATCCACACTCCAACACCACCCAAAAAAGGCTATGAAAGGTACCAGGGGCATCTCATGGGGCCCTTGGGGGCAGTGCCCGAATTCCCAAATGGTCAGTCCGCCCCTGCATGATGAAGAATTGAAGAAGGTTGTCCTAGGATGGTTCCAGCATACCGACAAATCTTTCTATGCCGGTGTATAAATGTAGCAGGGGAGTATATTGAAAAATAAATGCAGTTTCTACTTGAAATTTGTTATTTTGTTATATAAACTCAAAAGTCCCAGTTTGATTTGAATGCCCCTCGTACTTACCATCTTAATAGAGGTCGGGTACCTCTCCCAGGACAGTCCTCCTCCCATTGACATGGGGGGCTGTTGGCTGGGGGATACTGAGACATCAAAGTTTGAACATATGTGTCCCCCATGAAATTACGCACTTGCTGCCCCACTTGCAGCAAGTGCAGGCTGTTGTAGCTGATCCTGCATGCGCTCGTTGGCAGAGCAGGGGGTGCCTACTAGGATCTATATTATCCAACCTGTGGTCCAGCTTGGCTGCTGATTGAAAAGATTAAAATAAATTAAAAAAAAAAAAAAAAAAAAGAAGGTAACCCTACTAAAAGCAGAGGAAATACGAGTCCCAGGAGGGATCTAGGTTCCTTACTCAGAACCTGAGCTTCCTATAGTAAATGGGTGGTTTGGCAACTAGTATGGGCTATTCCTAGGCAGTACTATATTTTATATTTTTTTCCCCTGCCTTGCATCCTACTCCTGGAGGTGGCACTATAACCCTATGGTCAAGATTCTCTTCTGGGCTGTGTCCTTCACTGAACAATAGAGAACCATGGTATGTGTACACCCCTCATTACTAAGGGTGCAATGCTTTGTGGGACATGTAAACCCTTATAAAGTGCACCAATCATTGCTGTTCTTCTCCCTGCCCATCATCTCCTAAGAGGAAGGAGGAAACTGGAGCACTCATGTGACTGAGACTTTTAATTGATTTTTGAGGCATTCATAATCAGCTTTCATATTAGACAACTGCAGATAATGGAGGGAACGGAGTGAATGTGGGTTGGTAATAGTATTGCAAGATTTATCATCTATCTCCCTTTGGCACATGTAACAGTCAATCAGACAACACCATGTTAGTGATTATGAGGTCTGACCTGTAAGGTACTGTCAATCTTCATGTTCAGTTCCTTGAGGTGATGCTCTGGAATGGCCAGGCTCTGAGAACAGAAGAGCTGTTGGACCTCTAACCCCGCCAAGCAGCCATCGCATCCTCTCTCCCGCAGCCGGCAGGTGGCCTATAAAGGAAATAGCAAAAACGGTTACTTTATGGCAAAGTACAAATTTAAATGGGGGTTCAGTGACCCTGGATTTATATCCTCACAGTACACACAAGCAAGAAATCAATCTTCAGCTCCTTTGGACACAGTAAAAAACAGTTAGTACCAACGGTTCGACATTCACTAGAGTGTCTTTATTGGGAAGATTTCTCATCACTTCCAGTCTTGATACAATCGCTAGGACCAGAAGTTAGGAGAAATCTCCCAAAAAGGAACACAGACCACAATCAAAATGTTTATATCCAACTTTTTGACTAACGGGTACATCCAACATCGCTACGAATTAAAACCATTGCTTGGGCTTGGAAATCTTCCTCTTTCAACTTCCTCTAAGTTCAAAGTTGGATACAAAGTACAATTATCAAAATTTACTAAAATATTAACAATACCCATAATAAATTTCTCTCAATACAGTGACCATGGCTCAACTACTTCCAAACTTGCATTAAAAATGTATGCATACTCTAATTAGGATTTTGATCATTTTGCCTTTTAGCACCCTGGTACCACCTTGAGAGTCTATGGAGGTTCCCCTCTTCACTCTCCCTCCACCATGCCCAACCCTCCCCCCTCTTTAGACTCTTCTTAAAGCGGAGCTCCACTCACCATTGAAAAAATAAAAGTCAGCATCTACAAAAACTGTAGCTGCTGACTTAAAAAACAGCCACTTACCTGTCCCTCAGTCCCGCGGTGTTTCCCCCGCAGCTCGTTTCATCGGCTGGATTCCAGGAGGCCGGCATCTTCAGTGTGGGCACCCGGCAGTGGTAGCTTGCGGCTTCACAACCGGGTACCCACTGCGCATGCACGAGTAGCGCTGTGCTTCATGAATGGTCCTGGAGTCTTCTGGGACCTGTCACGTGTCCCAAAAGACTACAGGGAGGGCGGACACCTTCCGCTTCCGATCACCTAGGTGATCGGACCAGAAGTGGGTACCTGTCAAATTTGGGTACTCGCTCTCCCACGCTCCCCAAAGGTGCCAATCCATAATAAGGGGCGGGGGAGCAGTCCTTAAAACGGAACTTCCCATTTTGGGTGGAGCTCCGCTTTAAATACCATTGCATTATAAAACCTTAATTAATAGCTGTCTGAGGCTAGCTGTGAGGCCGGACAGGGAGCCCTTCCTCCCTCCATGGCAGCCAAACAACGCAGCTAACAAGGAGACAGCTGTTTTGACATAAGGCACTTTTCTTTATCTCCAATCACTTTCCTGGAACATTTTAGCTGTCAAATCCCCTCCCCATTCCTTGTGGGGCATTAACCTCGGACAAATGTTTGGAGATAGAAAAAAACTGATGTCTGTCAAAGCCGTCATCTCCTTGCTAGCTGCGTTGTCAGACGGTCTTGGAGGGAGGCGCCGTACCTGACCGACCTTACAGCTAGCCTTAGACAGCACTTAGGAAGATGGGAAACAGTACAACATGTACTTTGTCCACTAAAGGAACAGAACCCGTTTATCAAACGGAAGTGAGACTTCTTTAAATCTGCTAGAAATGTACTTGAAAACAGAACAATGATGAATCAAGCAGACTGTCATTTTAACCACTTCCCGTCCAGCCCATGTATATAAACGGCTGGACAGGAGCAGTGCAGGGGCGGGTGGCCATTTATAAACATAAAAGATATATAGTGAGCGCTCTCATAAATGTCAGCAGCTGGAACACTTTAGGCAACCATAATGCCTCAAACACAAATGTGGCATAGTCAGTAACCGGTACTGGGGTTCTGTGTATTGAGACTTCTCTGTCTCCTCCTTACTCTGTGGTAGATCGCGGATCCACGGCAAAATGGCGCTGCCGTGCTCGCGCATGCGCAGTGCTTGCTTTCTCCGGGAAAAATGGCCGCGGCTCACTGCGCATGTGCCGATTCCCCTATTTCTGACACTGGCGTCGGTCACGCTCCTGTACAGTCTCCCCTCTGATGATGTGCCTTTAGCACGAAAGGCCTAAGGAGGAACTGTGCAGAGCGTGACGTCATTCCACCGCCGGAGCCACGAGGAGGCCCGGCGGCCATCATTACTGGGGTCAGTACTGCTGTATTTGTCTTTCATATGATGTACTACATGCATACTGCCCTGCTGTTTTTATAAATAAACATTCGTTTTTTGGACATACTACACTATTTTGGGCATCTGTTTCCTGGGGCTCCTGTCTGGAGCTTTCACTCCCATAGAGAAAGCACTTTGCCATCCTGAGAGGAGTTTTTTTCCTGAAGCACCTGGCTGACCTTAAGGGGACCCCCTGGACCTGTCTTAGGAGTCTGTGATGACCCACCGTGAGGGAGATGCCTGGCTTTCTGATGTACCCATTGCCTGTGATGCATGATCACACATGCGCATAACCCATGCGTTTCCGGTGAGTGCGCATTTCTGTTATTCTGACAGAGTGGAGGCCGTGGGAATCCGTATATCTACAGTATACCATTGTGGATACTACACTATCACCTTATTGACTTTTCATCTTTTTAAGCGCTGCACTCTATTGTTTTGAGATTGGCCATTTATAAATGGCCTCCCCGCCCCCTGCTTGTGCACGCTCCCTGGGAGCTCGCAGCACCGCAATCCGGTGCCCGCAGCGTCCTCCTGATCGTTGTACGGGACCTTTGTGTGAGGTCCCGATCATGTGGTCACTGATTGGCCAATTAGGGATCACATGAAGAGTAGTAAGCAAGATATCACTTATGACATCATTGCTTACTACGTGTGAATGATCACAGAGATCACATGGTACAGGGCTATTTACAACAGCCTTGTACCGTGTGACAAGCTGTGAACAATCACCGCTCTCACAGTATTGCTCAATGGCTGCAAGAATGCAGCGAGAGAGAAGGAGAAATGATTGCTTTTACAGCCTTTATGGGTGTAAAAGCAATCATTGTATTAAAAAAAAAAAAAAAATCTTCATCATCCCCCACAAGTAGTAGAGTGTCACTATGGTGATATTGTACTGCTAGGGTGACAGTATGTAAAAAAAACAAATATAAAAAAACTAAAATATGTAAAAAAAACTAAAATAAAAAAATGTAAAAAAAAATTTTGAAAAATTATAATTTTTGCTTCTAAACTAATTTGGGCTATTTTGTTTTTGGCTGAAAAGATAACAATACATTTTGGCCAAGATTTATGAACAAAGATTATTCATTTGCAAAATTTTATAAGACACTTTTTTTCAAAATGTTTGGACTTTTTCATTTATATAGCAAAAAAATAAAAATCCCAGCGGTGAATAAATACCACCAAAATAAAGTTTTATCTGTCTCAAAAAAATGCTAAAAAATGTATATGGGTCCAGTGCTGCATGACCGCGCAATTGTCATTCAAAGTGTGATAGCGCTGAAAGTTAATTGGCCTGGACAGGAAAGGGGGTAAAAGTGTCCGGACTTGAAGTGGGTAAACAAGTTCAGAGTACAAGCCCCTACAACACAGCTAAATGCTCAATAAGTCGTTTTCAGCTTTGTGTCCGTTTAAGAGATCTGGGGATAAAAAAACAAAAAAAACCTCTATGAGTCGTACATCTAGAAACATCAGTCATCCTATTATGGCAACTTTGCATCCTTATTTGCCATTCATTACGAGGAAGGTCATGTGATGAGTGAATAAGCTGTACTACAAAGACACGCTTTGTCCAAGGCATGCGAGCGCAAGTCCCGTCAAAGAATGCCAGACTGACAGATTGGACGCCCATACCAGCACGATCCTTGTGCGCAACCTGCACACAGTCGGCTACGGCAGACTCCACAAGCTTGTTTGGGCTGTTGAGGCGGATCACATTTCACCTAGCTGCAGATGAGTCAGCTTTCATGCCCCCCCCACGCAAAAGGTTTCAAAATTTGACAGAACGCAGCATTGGAAAGCTATGGCTGGAAAGGGACTTCTAAGATTGCAGATGCCGTTTTGTTTCAGAGTCACGAAGCAAATTCTAGTTAGCATCACTGCAAGCGATGACTTGGCCCAGGTCCAGGCTATAGCCTAGGAGGGTTGCAGCTTGAAGCAGAGGTTTCTAACACAGGTGTTTATTTTTGCAGCAGATTACCATTAGGCTGGGTTCACAGTAATGCGGTGCGGTACATCGCATGTGATTCGCACAGGAACCGCACTGCCAGGGGCGGACTGACAACTCATGGGGCCCCTGGGTAATAGGGGATCATGGCGCCCCTGTGTCCTTGCCCAAGCAAAACTGTGCAGTTTTGACTTAAGGGACATGATGCCCTTTCTATAGGTGTAAGCCATTTGCGTTCCTCCTGAAGCCTAGCTGAAAAACTCTGAGATGGCATCATTCCATCCTGGTTTGTTGCTATTACATTTCTAAGCAGGGGTGGGCTGACAACTCATGGGGCCCCCGGGCAATAGGGGATCATGGGGCCCCTGTGTCCTTGCCCAAACTCAAAAAAGCCTATGCAAAAGGTACCAGGGGCATCTCATGGGGCCCCCTACTGACCCAAATTTCCAAATGGTCAATCCGCCCCTGCACATCGCATTCCTGTGCAAATCACAAGTGATTTGTGTGCGGTACAATTGGAGCCTTACATTTAGCATGGTTCCAATCGCACTGCACCAAAAAGGCGCAGGACCCTTTTTTGGGTCCGCACTAGAATCGGATCGCATGGGTATTCATCCGATTCTGCACATCGCACTGCGTTTTGCGGACCGATTTCGGGGTGTTAACTTAATACACACCCGCAGAGGTTCACATGAACGGGGTGCGATTCTGAATCGCACAGAAAACGCTGCAAATTCCGTACCGCATCAGTGTGAACTCGGCCTTAAAGTGAACCTGTCAGGGGAAGAACAAACAAGTTGGCTGATAGTAACTTTTGTTATCCAGACGCCTCTGTACATCTCTTAAAACTAGTCTCTTTGTGACCAGGGACCGGACTTTACTTCTGGGTTAAATTCCCCATCAACCGGATCCTTCTGTCCAATGAGAGTGCCTCTGTGGCCAAAAAGGTCATGGTTAATGGAG